TTGCATCTCCAGCTTCTGCACTGGCCCCTGGCTGATTGTTCCTCTCAGCCTGTGTCACACCCAGCTTCTTCACATTCCGTCTTATCTCACCTGGCCACTGCTCCTACGTAGTGAGTGCCATCCCATCATCCCCTCCCCTTTCTCATTCATAGTTCTTACATTTGTCATTCAACTATTTTTACTTCTTTATATTCGTCACTTCCCCTAGTCAGTCTAATCCTCCCTTCACCCGTTGCTTCCTTCCTTGAATAAGATTTATGAGCATCTGGTATGTGACAAGTACTGTACCGGTTCTCTGAGATTTGTTGTGAAATAAGACAGTTGTCTTTGCTGCCACAAAGCTATAGTCGAGCGGAGAACACAAACCAATACAGAGAGAATTGCCATATGGTGTATCCTCCTTGTAGTTGAAACACATAAGAGAGGTGTCAATCCCAGTCTCAGGTTGTCAGGGACAACTTCTTAGAGAGTGGTCGGCTGTGTTGATACTAAAATAATGAAGGTTGCTGAGAGAACAACTTAGAAAAGTAAATAAATAGAATTAAAAGTGTGAAAAAGCATAAGTGTAATGTTGAAAGAAGTAGGAAGTTCACATCTACCATGTGTAGAAGGTAGTAAAGGCAGCGGAGTGTGAGTTCAGAAAGACCAGCTAGGAGACTTTGGGCTACGGTCCAGAGGTCTGGCCAGAGTTATGGATGCTCAGAGGGCTGGAGTTATATGCAGAAATAGCTGTCTTGTACAAGATAGCGTGAGAACCTGATGACTGATATGATCCATGGCTCTTACCCAGGCTGGTTTTGTTTCCAGGGCATAGTTGGTAATGTCTGGAAATATTCTGGGCAGAGGCCAGTGACACTTCTAAGCACCCTGTAATGCGTGGGATAACCCTGTGAAGACTTGTCTGTCCCAGAATGTCAGTAGGGCTTCTTGTGAGAAGTCCTGGGCTGAGGATAACGGAACTGTTTGATAATACTACTATATCTAGTAAATCTTGATTTGTTTAAGCTGAACAGCTACTGGTTCGGAAAAACAATAGGCTTTTTAGTACTAGCTTAGCAATTTTGAGATCAAGCACTACCATAAGACTTTTGCTCTTGTTTTTAGTGTATAGACATTTCTTAGGTTTTGTTTTATCCTGTTTTCTGAGACAGAGTCTCAGTAAGTCACTAAGTGGTCCAGGCTGGGCTTGAATTTATGAACCTCCTGCCTCAGCATCCTGAAGTGCTGAGATTACAGGTGCATCACCACACTGGCTTTTGTAGGAAGTGCTCTTGAGCTCAACACCCAGCTAGGGGAAGACAGGAAAGAAAAAAAGGAAGTAGCATGGGGCAGAAGGGTCCTTGTTTTCATTGTTAAACTAAATTAAAACTAGTGTAAGGTTGTTGCAGTTACTTCATGTTGTTAAAAATTCTGCAAGATTTTCATTAAACTTAAACTCATACAATTATACAGGTAGTTTTATAATCCATTCTCTGAATTACAAAGGGTGTCAATGTTTCAGTACTCTAGGTCCTGGTATTATTAACTGAGCATCAGACCCACTACAGTGTGCTATCTGGCTTCTCAAATTACTCAGTGGAAAGGGATTATGTTCTTTTTTCTTTGACCATGATAATTATCTCAGTGTTCATTGTGGAGAACAGGAACGTGATGATGGTGAGCGCAGAGCTGTGCCCTGCGGATGGCCTCAGCTGCAGATGTGCTGTCAACACCCACCGCAGTGGTGGGGTCCTCAGGCTCCCTCTCACCGCACCTCTCGCAGCAGGGCGCCCTCCTAGGGAGAGCCCGCATCTAATGGCTGGTGGAGGAGGACCTGTGAAGACTAAGCCAGTATAGTACTGCCTGGAGGATTGGCTGTGGATTTGTGAGCAGGCTGTATCCCAGCCTGAGATTCACCTTCTGTCTCCTCTCCTTAGTCCTGCGCCCTTCCACTTCCTTCTAGAGACGTTGATGCGTGCTGTACAGTCTACACATTAGCCTCCAGGCCAGGGTCCGCTGGGACTTGAAATTCAGCTTCCCCTGCTGGTCCTCTTCCCTATCACTAGGATCCAGTGCAAAATGAAAATCCAGGATCTCATCCAAAAAGCAGGTGTTGCTAAAAGTATCAAAATAAAATGCTTTTTCGTTCTTCACGTGGTCTCTCAGTTTTTTGTGGTGTTTAAAATTTAAATTTAATTTAATTTTCTGCAGCGTTCTAGACAAAGAGTATGAGAATGTTAAATTATGAGCATGAATTTCTTGTCCACCTTTATGTTGTGTAATGCCAGTTTTACATGCATATATGCATATTGAATTCATAGAATCACTGGGGTTTTACGACTTATATTTTGTAGCTCAGGCATGCATATGTATTTCATTTTTACCCGAATTGTGGGAATCCTGCACAAAGCTAACGCTACTGCTTTTATGTGGCTTCGTGGTACGTGTGCATCTCACCAATCTTCCCTTACCTTTAATTTACTTACACATGAAAGAGGACTCAGCGGAAGAGGTGCTGGGGGCCTCTTTTCACATGATCATTTGTAGCAAAAGTGGTTGGCATCTCTAACAGGAAATGATGTGGTAGGAATGAGAGGTCCCATGTGATCTTTAAAACACCCTTGCCCGTGTCTGCAGTTAGAGAACATTTGGCCCAGAATGGAAGCGCCACCTCTTTCAGAACGCTGAGCTTTCTTCCTTGCTCTTTCACGTCGCCCAACTGTGGCGCACATCTCTGGCTACCTCTAAATCTTATCCACTTCCTTCCATCATGGTTTTGGTGCTGTGAACGAGAGCACTGTGCTCCGTGCGAGTGGGGCGACAAAGAGCAGCAGGCACTCGTGGGAAGCACGCAGGTCACCTCTGCGCGCGCACCGCCTCACGGCTGCCCTGGACTGTACTTACGCGACCAAAACCCAAAGGTAAAATTATTAAGAATTTTGAGTAGGCGTTGGCGGGACACTGACTTGCTTTCTGCTGCTGGGAGCCGTGCTCTGTGCGTCTGCGTCAGTTGTCCGCCCGTGAGGCTGGCCCTGGCTCACCCAGCTGGCCTCGGTCTGCCTGGCTTTTCCTCACATGAGCTCTCCTCCATCCACTTACACGCTCAGCCCCACTGGAGAGGAGGAGGAGGATGAAAACCCCAGGTGACAGGGCCGCTGGAGCAGGCTCGGTAAGCTGGAGTCTACACCTCGCGGAGAGGATAACCTCTTATCCCCAAGCCCTAAGGACCCGAGGTCCTTCTCTGCTATCAGAGATCTCGCAAAGCGTCTGGTTCTGAATTGGAACGCCATGTGGATCTATGTGTAGCTTCTCTTCACACAAACTATTGCTGTGCCTCACTTATGTCTTCGTTTCCTTGAGTAATTAACTAGTTTTCAGTATGACTATTTTTTCTCTATATACACACACATACACACATGCACACACACATGCACACACACATCGACACATACACACACGAATACACTCTTGTGATTATATAAGACATGCTCATTGTAAAATAATTAAAAAGATATAATAAAACAAAAATTATGATTTATAATATGACCATTCATATAAAATGATTGAGTTCTGGTGTGTACATTTTCAGACTTTCCTATTTACAAGAACTATATTTTCACAAAAAATAATTTCTTACTATATGAACTATTTCATACCTTTTTACTTAACATTATCTTGCAAATTTATTCCCAAATCAGTATAGGTTCACATCGTTTTTAATACTTAATAGTAAAACCTTACATTTTACTGATAAGCTATGATTTGTTTAACAAGTCCTTAATAGTTTGCTCAATTATGATATTTAGCTATAATAAATAGTTCTCTGGAATATATCTTTTTATGTATACCTCTTATTTTCTTATTAATTTTATTGAGAAACAAATAGCAATGAGACAGTTTCAAAACTGGTGAGTAGGAGAGTTTCAATGATTAATACATTGCATAGTGTTATCTTCTTAGTGGTTATTCATAGTACAAGATGCAGACATGATATCCTGTCCAAACACTATTAGTACAAATCTTTCTTCTCATTGAATTAAGAGAAAGTAGCTGTATATCTATCCTAACTATTTTGAATATACAGATAAAAAAATGGTCATTCATTTGTACCCCCATTTTTTGTTTAGCTTTGTCAGAGATGGGTATTCCATTGCCATTTAAATATTGTCGGTGTGTAAATTCAGCAAAAAAATCCAATATAGTCTGGTAGTCCATAATAGTGGTGGGCTATCCATAGGATTGACAATGTCAGAAGTTGTTGACTTGAGCCTTTTACAGCTCAGCATATTAATATGGCTTTATTATACCTCGTGTTTATACTTTTCTGCTGGATGGTTAAGACCAAGATAAAGCAAGACCTATATAACAAGAAATGTAACTTTTGTATTTGACAAAGTCAGTCAAATCCCCTCAGGATTTACCCTGTAGCCCTGTAGCACACAGTTTGTAGATCCTTTGTCAGTGTCAGCCATGTGGATGAGTCATGGCCATTGCTTGACCAATTTGCTCTCTGTGAAAGCCTGAGAGAATGTTTTCTCTCCATGTGACTCTCCTTAGGCATACTCTACATCATCAATCACTTTTCTCTGTGGATATGTAACTATTATTATCAATGACATCAAGTGATTATGACTTTTGTGTAAGTCCTAGAAGTGGAATTGTTTGCTTTTATAATTCGCTCTTTACTTTTCAAATCATGAGCTGTACAAACACCTTTTAGAAGTTATAGATATATCAATAAAATACCAGGAGAAATAATAAACCATGGTTTTGACTTACTATGTTTTCCATAAAACCTCTAGAGCAGTGGTCTTTGTACCCTTCTGGCTTTGGCAGTCCCTCTGGTGGTTCTTCGGTGCTACAGAATGACCCAGATAGTCAACTTCCTATTTCCCACTTATTATTCCCAGTAATTAGAACTCTTAGACACTGTGCAGCTTATTGAATACAAGTTTTCAAGTTCTGTTACGATACCATTCTCCTTCCTGTTTTGTATACAATACCTGCATTGTGTTTTTCAGATGCATCTCAATTTTTTTTGTGGAGTTCCAGACATACTTTGGTCAGGATTATGCACAAACTGCATGGATCCACTCCATCGTAGATTGTGTGACCATGCTTTGTGGTGAGTATTACTTATGAGGACAGACAATTATTAACTACTCTTGAACTATACATGAGCATGACCTTGCTAAGCTCAAATGAATTTCATTCTCATTTTTTCTAAGTGAAAGTCCATGTTAAAAATTGGGTAAGACTATTTGAAAAGGTCAATGTATATAAAAATATATAAAAATAAAAGAGTCCCACTTAACCAGACTTAATGATCTTGGCTGATGCCAGATGGAAGAGGTTGTTAATGCACTGAACAGAACATCTACCATTTGGTTTTTCCACACAGAAGTAGGATGCTGAATGTTGCAGAACTTGTCCTGATTCAGGGAACCATAGTCTATGCTTGGCTCCTGTCTTCCAAATGCTGAAGCTTCCTCATCCTCCAGTTACATAGACAATAATTGGACCACACTGGGTACCTTTCTATAGACTCTCCTTAAATGCCAATGGCATCACACTACATCTCTAGTCTTGGGTTCCCAGAGGGTTTAGAATTTGGTTCACAGATTTTATCTTTACAATGACGGGCCATGACTCCTGTCACTGGGCCATGGGTCATAAATACTGTGCATTTCTTTTGTCAGGAAAAATTAGGAACTCTAACTGGGGTTTGAAGGAGCATAGTCCATTGGGCACTCTATGCTATTTCATCCAAATTCAAAGTTTCTCTGTAGGGCATGGAAACCAATGCTGCAGCTATGTAGTAGAAGATGACAAACTCTGATTTTTTCTTATAAATTTCAAACTAAGTTTATTAAATTGATGCCTGAGAGCTTATAAATCTGGATTATACTGGAACAATCTGCTTGTAGCATAGACTCACATAATCCTTTCATTTAGATGGGCTTGAAGTATTTAGGAAACTTTAATTTCTTCAGGCCTTATCTCAGTTGCAAAGAGAAATACTATATTAGTCAGTAACTCGTTGTAACTTTATCTGATTAAATGTTACTGGATAGAAGTGTTCTGGTACTGTTATATCCAGGTTTTTTGGTGCCCAAAGAACTGAGCAGGACGTTCAGTGCAAAGAGTTTGTGGCCCTGATAAGGACTGGTACTAGATCTCTTCCAGTCCTGGGATTATAGGAGGAACTATAACTGGAGTTAGACAAGAGGCGTGGCCCAGTGGTATACCTGATTCAATCCATTCCTTGGGAGGAGGAGTTCTGAGCATACAAAATTTTTAGACGAAATGTTATGGTATCCAGAGGTCACTAAGGAAATCAAAACTGCAATGCAAAGGATGCTGGCTGCAGGCCTGGGTTATGTACTTCCAGGTTAGTGCATGCCCAGGGGCCTTGGAACTCATAGGGTAACATTTATCTATTGGTTTTCTGATATTTTGACATAATTATCTTTGCTTTGGTTTGTTTCTTGCCCCATGACTTTCTGTTGTTTTCTTGTCCTTGTTCCACTCCTGCTTTAATTCCATCCCGTGTGCTGACTCATATTTATTCTTAGAAAAAATGTACACACTCGGGGTCAGTTGAATTGTGCTGAAATGCATTTCTTTGGTTAGGAGAAATTAGAGAGCAACTCTGGTACTGGAAGCAGATTTTTAAGAGAAGACTCAGTTGACTCTTTCAACTTGTAAGAAGGTCTGGAGGCATCAAACAAATTAGGTGCTTGGGTTTTGCAGTCCATTTTGGTTTTTGTTTCAATAATCAGTTGATTTTTCAGGGTCATGTCATTAGTCACAGTGCCTGTGTCATTATGCCAAGAGACTGTGCTTATCTTTCTCAGAGCATACTGATGACTCAGTGTTATCTTCCAAAGAAGGTTTGTAATACCACAAATGAGGTAAATGGCCTTATGTGACCAGGATGGTTACACTGATTACATCAGACTTTGAGCAGACTTTGATCATTTTAGATCAGTATAATAAAATTCTATGCAAGAATGTGAGGCCTCTTATACCAATTACCACATACTGCTTACCAGATCATTCAATATTAGAACATTAGAGTTTAGAATATGGGACAAGAGACTACAAGATCACATCTGCAGTATGAAATCTGCTGTAAACAAAACAGAGAAGTGAAAGGTATTCATAGAATTGGGTGTCAGTGCTTTCATTGAGTTCAATGTAAATCTTGTTACTTTCCAGTAACTGCAGTAGGAGTATCCTTGAGAATTCACTAGCTTCTAAGGAACTTTCTTAAAATAGATTAGATGCAGATTAGAGACAGAGATAGAGATAGAGACAGAGATAGAGATGATGCAGGTAGAAGCACAGATACAGCTATATCACCACTATTTTAGCTCTATAGGAGAAAATGAACTGACAACTCAGTTCATCAAGTACATTGAGTTGCCCCCCAACTTCAACCTAATCAATACAAAATGATTATATTACACAGGTCCAGATCCAATCGCAATTCTGATCTTGTTCCCAGGTATACTAGTGTCGGCCTGACGTTTTCTTTAGAGGACAGTTCACATGCCTCCCCTGCCATGACAGCTCTTCACCATTGTCCTCAAGGCCCCAGGAGTACAGGATGAAATAACTTCACAGTCAGTGTCAGCTTTTTGGGCTGACCATATCTCCTATCTTGGGCATCTTACCATTTAAATAAATCTTTTATAAGCCTTAATGTCAGTACAATTTGGATACACTGGCAAAATGCAAACAGTGGACCAAAGAGCATGTCACCATGCGTGTGAAATATTTTTCTTAGATTTTTCTGGGCTTTGTCTTTTCATCCACAGGAACTTCTGAAGCCTGAAATCAGTACCAATTGTGGAATTTTTATATGAGCTCTCTCCTGTGCTGGTCATACAGTGCCACTTTCTTTTCTACCACTTAACTTATTATTGTTAATGGCACATAGTACTACATCAAACATCCTTGTGCAAGTGACATGCAACTTAAATAGTTGATTAGCTGTTTCAAAGAATGTCCAGTAATTCCAGAATTATGACTGTAACAGGGTGAATAATGTGTACATGTCAGTTCTTGTTGAGTTCTGCTTCTTACGCTGTGTATGGCCATGAACAAAGCACTTCTCTCTGGACCTCAGTTGGAAAAGCTGTAACATTGGAGGGATGGACCTGTTGCTTTAGAGGTTGACCTCTGCTCTGCTGCTGATGCACCACAGCCCTTGTGCAGAGTCCTCAAGCCTTGCTGTTGACCCTGTTTGTTATTGTTTTTGAAGCTCCACTTGGGAGTGTTGTCAGCAACCATTTATCCTGTCAAGTGGGAATCATGCTAGGTGGCTTGCTTGCATCTACTGGTTTCATCTTGGGCTCGTTTGCCACCAACCTGAAGCATCTCTACCTCACACTGGGAGTTCTTACAGGTAAGGTCACCATGTACCCCCTGTCTACTGTGCTTTGTTGAGGTGCTGCTAAGTACATCAATAGAGCAGTGATTCACAAAATATTCATTTTGTTTCATGCCTTGTTAGGCTGACCTAGTTTATGTCCACTTACTGAGCAGTCAAATAGGATGGAAATGTTGTACTACCATACTACAAATGCATCAGCCCTTTAATTCAGCCATATGATAAAAGCAACTGCTGCCCTTTTCTTTGGCCTTGAGTATGGCTGACAGTTTGCAGATATTAACCTAGTGCAGCACAAAATTTCAGCCATGGTCATTCTCTCCTTATCTTTGCCAAGATATTAAAATACTAGCTAGCTGTGTTCAACCTGAGTTGTGCTTACTCAGCAATAAATATCATTACCCAGTAAGTCAGAGTTTCCCATTTAAAAAAGAAAGCCTCTTGTGAATATTCTTATGATACACATTCTCTCAAAGGAAATATCTATTTAGAGAATGATAATGAACCCCATGGAAAGAGAAGCATCACTGTACATTCCATAAATCGTACTGAAGGGGACTGCACAGGACCTAGACAGGGTTGTGGTGGAACTGGGGGAGGAGTTGGCTCCTCATGTAGGAAAAGGTGAAAGATTAACGTGATCTGAAGAGAAACCAGTGTCCTGGCTCCTCACTTAGAAGGGCAGGGAGAGTTGCACCCAGTCTTGCCAGGGCTTGTGCCACAGGGTAGCACAAATCAGGCCAATAAAAGTTCCAACTTCATAAGAAAGCTGTAAGTCTGGAACTGCCAGCCACAAATGTAGGTCTACTCGCACCAATCCAAAGGGCCTGGCAGCTGAAATGCCAGCAGCGACACTTCACTCAGTACTGCTCGGGTTCAGCCCCACGTCCAGAGCTCCAGGCCACTGTAGATGGCTGGCCATCCTGCTCTGCAGGTGGAAGGAAGACCTGATGGTGGTCCTCCTTTTCTTGCTCTGATACTCAAAGCACCCTGAAATCCAGTCCTTCAGATTTTCTTAACTTAAAAAGCAATAAAAGTGAAAACTTTTAGAAAGTTTCTGGTCTGTCAACATTCTTCTCTTTATCTCGACAGATAATGTCATTGCTATGATAATGCATGCAATTGGGATGATGTTTGCAAACTTGATGAAATTATTCTGGAATGTTTGAGGAGTGAAATATGCTACTTCAATTTGAATTTCTGAACAATACCGATTTTCAGTGTTGCATCTTCACAGGCAGTGAAAAATTGAGGCATTTATTTGGATAACTCATATTACAAAAAGTAAAAGAGGAAGGGATGTTTCTTATCCAGATTTTCTAGTAAATTCTGTTTAGCTTGAATAATGATTTTTTTTTTTTTTTTTTTGAACTGGGGGTTGAACTCAGGCCCTTGCGCTTGCCAGGGAAGCGCTTATTCCACTGAGCTATCTCCCCAGCCCCATGAATAATGATTTTTACATTCTTTAATTTTATTTAAGAAGTCACGGGCTGGGGAGATAACTCAGCAGTCTAAGTGCCTGCTTGGCAAGTTCAAGGACCCTAGAGTGCGAGTCCCAGTACCATATGCAATGCTAGCCCCAAACCCTGGGCTCCATGCTGACCACCGAAACTGGGCATGGTGGAGCATGCCTATGATCCCAGCACTGGGGAGGCTAAGACAGGAGGATTACTATGAGTCTGAACTGCATAGTAAGACCCAATACCAAATAAATAAATATAAAAAAGAAGTCGTATTTCCTAAGGTTATTCTCCCTAAACAGAAAATCATATATATTCTGTATTTTTCTTATTCTGTCTGACTGGTGAGGAGAGACTATTTTTCAGCTTCGTATACAAAACAGACTTAAAAGGTTTCCAGGGAGGCTGGGTTCTCTTTAAGCCAAACCTCTGGAGCTCTTCCCTGCCCTTGGCTACTCACAGAGTCCAGCGCCCACACGGTTCTCTTTCCCCAGGTCTTGGATTTGCACTTTGTTATTCTCCAGCCATTGCCATGGTTGGCAAGTATTTCAGCAGACGAAAAGCCCTCGCTTATGGGATCGCGATGTCAGGGAGCGGCATCGGCACCTTTGTCCTGGCTCCTGTGGTTCAGCTCCTCATAGAAGAGTTTTCCTGGCAGGGAGCATTGCTCATCCTCGGGGGCTTCGTCTTGAATCTCTGTGTGTGCGGTGCCCTGATGCGGCCCATCACTCTCAAAGAAGACCATTCGAGTCCCGAGCAGAACCGTGTCTGCCAAACGCAGAAAGAAGACTGTAAGCAGGCATCCCCCTACTCGTCTTGGACCAAAGAATGGGCGAAGACCTGCCTTTGTTGCTCCTTGCAGCAGGAATATAATTTTTTACTCATGCCAGACTTTGTTGTGTTCGCTGTTTCTGTGCTATTCATGGCTTATGGCTGCAGCCCTCTCTTCGTGTACTTGGTGCCTTATGCTTTAAGTGTCGGAGTGAGCCACCAGCAAGCTGCCTTTCTTATGTCCATACTTGGGGTGATTGACATTGTTGGCAACGTCACTTTTGGATGGCTAACAGACAGAAGGTAAATCCAGGAAAGCGCAGTTGGTCCTCCAGGGGGGATGAGTTCACCTCCCTCTCTTGGTCTGAAAGAGTACCCAGATCTAAAGAAGGTTAAGCAGCGTTAGTACCTGAAGGCAGGCACTCTTGCTGATTCTTCTAAGTCAGGGCTGAGCAAAGCTCTTTCTGTAAAGAGACAGATCATGAACATTTTTGGCTTTGTGGGCCATATCATCTTTGTCACAATGCTGTCACATGAGAGCAGTCATAAACAGTGTGTTGACACATGAGAGTAGTTGTGTTTGGATTAGGCTTTATGCCCACTGAAATTTGAGTTTCTCTTATAACTTTTATAACACAATATATTGTTCTTCTAATTTTTTCCCATTTTTAAATGGAAAAATTATTACTTCACAGGTAGAATAAAAACAGGTGGAAGGCTGGACTTGACCATAATTTTTCTACCCTTGTCTTGATAGCCTAGAATGGTAAGACTGTCTAAATGGCAGAAGCCAGCCAGGTATGCTGGCCCATTCTTTCAACTACTCAGGACGTTGAGGAATTAGGACCACAAGCTTGAGGGCAGCTTAGGTGGCTTAACAAGAACTTGTCTTAAATGAAAAAAAAAAAAAAAAGAAATTTCAAATTCTGGGATGTAGCTCAGTGATATTATGGTTGTTTGACATGTGTGAGAATCTGAAAAATAAATAAATCGTGAGGATCTTAAAATAAATTGTAATGTCAGGAGAGGTGGCCCATGCCTGTAATCCCAGCACTTGGGAGGCTAAGGCAGAGGATCGTTGTGAATTCGAGACCAGCTTGGGCTACAAAGTGAGCTGAAGGCCACCCTGAAACACATTTTGAGATCCTGTCTGAAAAAGAAAAATAAATACATTGTAGACACCAAAGATAACTGCAAGTTCTAGTGATAGATTTAATTCTTTTCTGAGCCAAGTCAGTGCTCAAGCAAGACAGCTTCTGTCTGTGTGTTCTGATTTTAGTTTCTTTTGAGCCACCCCAGACCCCAGAGATTGGGTGGAAAGGAAAGATTAGAATTAGTTCAGGCAAGGGCTACAGTCATAACGTTATCTGCAGTCACATACGTGTATTTATACTTGACAAGCAGTAAATATTTTCATTATACTGTAGGCTTAGAAACCAAAGTAATAGGACCTCTATAAGGTATAGAGGTATCTTCTTTCGCAGATGCTCATCTGTTTGTAGTGGACATCATGAGCTGCGCTTCTTCTCCTAAATGAACTCTTCCTACAGGGGTTGGGGCCTGGGACAGCTATCATCATGCAACTTCTCACAGATTATGTCTCTGGAAATTAATTAAGGTTCCATTGCCAATCTATAGTGTAGAGAATATAATATTGAACATTAATTCATCTTTTTTAAGGTGCTAGAGATAAAACCCAGGACCTCACATTCTCTAGGCATGTGCTCTCTCACTCCATCCCCAAGCCTTCCAGAAGTTTAATTAAGGAAGAAAGAAAGGAGAAAGAGAAGTCTATTTGCATAATCAAATAGCTCAGTATGTGTGATATTTATTTGTCTGCCAACCTCATACCATTCTGTGAGGCTCAGTTAAGGATGCAAGGAGAAAGGTGTTTATAAACTACTGGAATTGACATTATGCAGAGCCATTGGAATAATTCAATGGGGATATTTAAAGATAACAGAAGGAAAGATGTAATGGAAGCACTACTGGAGAAGGGTCAGAATAGCACTTACTTCTAGTACAAGACCATCATCATCTCAGGAATTCACTTTAATGTCTCCATATTGCATTTTCCTTTCTATAGCCATTTGTAGTATTGAGCGTCTGGTACAGGCTGGACATCAGCGAACAGCACCTTTAAAAGCATGTAATATGGGAGATGGCAGCTGGAAAATGTTAGTGTCTTGACATTGTGCATATTATTTCACAGCTGTCTTAAAAGTAACTTTGCACTTTGTAGTGAGCTTGAAGTTACAGTTAGATTTTAGTGCATCTGTGTTTTCTCTACTGTATATATTTTCTCTATGCTTCCTGGAGAGATAACTTCATGCATTTTCATTTACCAAATGAAAGATGGGAAGAAGTATACACAGAATATGAAAAAGCAAACTTTAGGAATAATTTCAATGCTTACTGCTGCACAGCCACTGGGTATAATGCTCTTTCACAGAACTTGTGCAGCCTGCACTCATTCTTGTCCTTCACATCCACAGGTGTCTGAAGAGTTACCGGTACCTTTGCTACCTCTTTGCCGTGGGGCTAGATGGGCTCTGCTATCTCTGCCTCCCAATGCTCCAAAGTCTCCCCCTTCTTGTGCCTTTCTCTTGTACCTTTGGCTACTTTGATGGAGCCTATGTGACCTTGATTCCAGTAGTGACTGCAGAAATAGTGGGGACCACCTCTTTGTCATCGGCGCTTGGTGTGGTATACTTCCTTCACGCAGTACCCTACCTGGTGAGCCCACCCATTGCAGGTAAGGCTTTAGAGAGGACCACTAGCTATGTCTGTCAAGAGTGAATCTGTGCATAGATGTACACACATGTGCATATTACACACACACACACACACACACACACACATGGTAAGATGAATTGGTAAGAGAACTAAGGGAGAGTGAAAAAGAACTGGGATGCAAGAAACATCAAAAAAATCATGCTCTTGCCAGGCACTTTGGGGCATACCTATAATTCCACAACTCTCGGGAGGCTGAGGCAGAAGAGTCACAAGTTCAAGTGTTGCCTGGACAATTTAACAACATGTCAAAATAATAAATAGGTATAGATAGATGATAGATAGATAGATGATAGAGGACAGATAGATAAAGGATAGATAGATAGATAGATAGATAGATAGATAGATAGATAGATAGATAAAGGTTAGAGGATAGAAAGATAGATAGAGGATAAATGATAGATGTGATAGATAAATGGGGTGGGGATATAGCTTAATGTGAAGGCTGTAGATTCAATCCCTAGTAACAACAATAACAAACACAGAAACAAACAAATAAATAAGAATGAGCCATCATGTTTTCCAACATCTTTTTTTTGTTCATTTGTTTTAACAAAATTGGAGGCTTAACTTACCTGGCAAGAAAAAAGACCCAAACTCACAAAGGAAGCAAAGCACAGAGCAGTTGTCCAAATTTCTAAATAAGTAGAGCACACTCAGAGGGAAACCCAATGAGTGCAGGATTCCTGGGGGGCAGTGGAGATGAGGCTGACATGCAAGCTGCATGTGTCATGTGGGGTGCATGGTGGAGTGCTCTCAGTGCCAGGCCACGGGGCCAGGCCCCAGATTTCTCATTTACTATTTGCATTTATAAATGTGGGTCACCTTGAAGTTTCTGTGCAAAGTGATAATAGTGAGAAGTATATTTTAGAAAAATGTGACCAGGCGTGGCCCTAGTGACTTAGGACGGAGGCACTTAGGGTTCTGTTTTAGTAGTTTAGGAGCAAACTGATGAAGGCGTAGACTAGTGATGCTGTAATAGGAATGAAAATGTGCTCTGAAAGACAGGAGGACATTTGGAAAAACAACCAAATTTAGCATATGGGACGAGAGAGAGAGAAAGAAGTTAAAGATGAGTTAGAAAATAATGGTATGGGGCCGGGGAGATGGCTCAGTGGAAAAAGTGCTTCCCTGGCAAGTGCAAGGGCTTGAGTTCAATCCCTGGTTCTGCAAAAAAAAAAAAAAAAAAAAAAAAAATTCCAAAAAAAAAAAAAAAAAAAAAAAAAAGAAAATAATGTAATGGTTGAAAGAAATAAAGAAATTGAAGACAGAGCCTTTCCTGAAAAATAATGAATTTAAAGTTTAGAGATAATAAAACACCTGTACCTGTAGTAGGTGAAAATGTTCAACAGAGCACCCTACAATTTAGAGAAAGACCAAATTTGAACACACAGATTTGGGAGCCATCAGATAAAACTTTTAGCATGTTTTATAAACTATTAAATGCTATTCAAAGTTAGGGTACGACCAAAGGAAGAACCTGACAAATACTAGTTGTGTATGTCAAGTAATTCAAATATTTACTGTTTTCATAACTAGCATTTTGGTTGGTGCTGGTGATTTAGCCAAAGCAAATGGCTCCAAACTTATTTCTCCTTCTGGACTAGTGTTTCCTGGAATGAGATCCTGGGACTCCTTGACTCCAACCTCCAGGCACTGGTTAAAAAATGCAGATTCCTTGACCTTTCACCTAGGATCTGAACTTTTTCAAATTTATTTTTTACTAGCACACATTTACAGTATGTAATGCTGTCATTCTTATAGGTATATCATCCATCTTAATTCCTCTTTTCACCCTCCATCCATCTTTTGATCCCTTTCCCATTTGAGAAAGATCCATTTCCCTACTTCCTGTTATGTATCCTTTATTTTGTTCTTTTTATATTTTGGGCTTCTCATACATGAGAAGCAGTCTGATATTTAAATTCATGTAAGGGTCAGAGAGATAACTCAGTGGACTAAGTGCCCACTTAGGCAAGTGCAGGGACCAGGATTTGATCCCCACGCCCCGCAGGCTGCACTGGCCCCGCCCCTGTGTGTGCTCAGCTCAGCACCAAAACCGGGTGTGGTGGCGCACTGCTGTAACCCCAGTGCTGGGGAGGCTGAAAACAGGAGGATCACTATGAGTCCAATCTATGTAGTTAGACAGTTTATTGCCTCGGTTTTGGAAATTGCCCCCAAAACACTCCCACATCCTCCATCTACAGCCGTTCTAGGGTAGCAGGTGATGCTGCAACAGAAACGGAAATGAACTCTGAAGGAAGGGAGGATATTTTGAAAAGCAGTTAACCAAACTTAACATATGAGGTGAGGGAGAGAAGTAACTTCAAGATGATTTAGAAATAATGTTATGGTTAAAAGAAACTGAAGGAAATTGAAGACAGTGCCTTTTTTTTTTTCTTGTATTTAATACAGGGTCTAACTATAGGGTCTAACTACATAGATTGGACTCATAGTGATCCTCCTGTGTTCAGCCTCCCAAGCACTGGGATTACAGGTGTGCGCCACCACACCCACTCTCAATCACCATCTCAGCATGCCCTGGGGATAGGGCCAACACACACGCTGGGTCTCGAACCCCAGCCGCTGCGTTCTGCCTAAGCAGGCGCTTTAGTCTGCTGAGCTATCTAGCTGGCCCTAGTGCCTTTGTTTTTAAGAACAATGAAATTCTGTTACATGTCACAGGACATACTTGAAATTGAGATCCTAGGATTTTTGTTTTCTATTTTTAACCTTCACTTGGCAAATCAGACATTATGATCATTAATGGAATTTACAGGATTAAAATGTAAGTTCTTATTTTGAAACTTCTCTTTTTATTTAACTCTAAAGTGCCACCACTTGGCCTCCATTTGGTGCTACAGAGATGCATTGTTAAATGATAACAAAATGTTTGAGAGGAATTTTCAAGAAACTTTGTGAGCTTTATAATAATTTCTATGCCTTTTTGAGTAGTGGACTTGAGGTAGGTAAGAGGAGGAGCCACACACTTCTCTGTGGAATTGGAGGAGGCATATAAGTAGAGTTTGGAGGAATTTAAAAAGAACTTTTTGTTAATCACAAAATAAATGCCTGCCAAAGTACAATTTTATCACACTATTTTCTTAGATAATCATAGCTTATATTTTGCATATCATATCCCCTGTTTTTCTTCAAAATTTAAAGATGAGGAAGATGTTGAAACTCATTTGTTGCAACAGAAGATGAAGGGGAAAACCCCTGTGGGTGCATGCGTGTATCTTCAGAAGCTTGCATTTGCATGTATGCTGGCCCAAAGTTCTGATTTTCAAACCGGAAGGTGGACTAAAAATTTAGACACAGCTAAAGCTTATGTTACTTAAGGTAGCATGTGGGCGCTGGGAATACTAATAGCTTTTGCGTGATTATATATATATTTTTTTAACACCCTAGATAAGTTATCTGAACTTCAATAATGTGAATGATGTTTAAAGTCATGGGGTAGCCTTGGATGGCAGTATAGTCCTGGAATCCCAACTTTCAGGAAAGTTGAAGCAAAAGGATGATAGGTTTGATCGTTATCTGGGCAATCTAGTAAGAACCTGTTTCAGAATTTTTAAAAAAAATGATCAGGAGTGTAGCTCAGTGGAAGACTACTCCTGGCTTCAGTTTTCAGTTATTGAAAAACTACAGAACACACAACAAAAAACTAGTATTTGTTGTATGGTTACTGAGTACACAACATTCTTCCAACAACTTTACTTAATAACAATCATTTCATTTTAGAAGTTGCCCTGAAAAGCATTTCTCATTTGCTACTGTTTTTAGGTAACCTGTTTTTTGTCTCTAAAATATAATACTTGTACTAGCAATCTGTTGTCATTATGCTTCCAGATGATTAGATCTGAGAGTGGGTAAGTAGAATAATTGGATTTTCAACTCAACAATATAATTTTGCTGTTGTTTATTGCAGGATGGCTGGTAGATACAACCGACAGCTACACCGCAGCCTTCCTTCTCTGTGGATTTTCCATGATATTTAGTGCTGTGTTGCTTGGCTTTGCTAGACTTGTAAAGAGGATTAAAAAACCCCCACTGCAGTTGTTTGCCAAAGAATCTGATCCCAAGCTGCAGCTCTGGACCAATGGATCGGTGGCTTATTCTGTAACAAGAGAATTAGGTCAGAAAGATGAGGAATTTGTGGCTGTAGCAGGCGCTGGTTACAGCCTCACATGACCAATGGCCTTGAGCCTGGGAATTTTCAGGGCTGAGAGAGGTGGGACCATCAATTTTTCATGTTTCTGAAGCATCGTATCTGGGCAGAAGTGTTGCCCTTCAAGCCAATTATTATTGTTGTTTTGTTGACATATTTATATGGGGAAAATAGCAAATAATAAAGAGTGCTGGACTAGTGTAGAGTTTCCTCTTTGGGGATTTGCATTCACAATCAAACTTAGATCTTTTAGTCAATGGAGAATTGCTCCTTGGAGACTATAAGGACTTTGTTGATTTAATGAGCTATAATTAGGCATAGTTCCAGTATATAACCAAAGTATATGATACTGAGCAGCAGCTTGTCCATCTCAATGTGCGGGCAAACCGAAACACTGACACAAAGGTTGCTGTCTTTATCCTGTTTGCAAAAGAGGGGCCAGCTTGGGTATGGTGGTGGAAGGTGAAGATTCCAGTCTTTTGTCATGGCAAAGTTTCTTGTGAGAAAGGAATACTTGAAATTCTTCCAAAGGCAACAGTTAATACAGAAAGAGGCTTTTCCCTCCTCACCCTCTTGTACCCAACCTTTGCATTTGCTGATGGCTGGATATTGTTTGGAGAATCCAACAAATCATGCAATGCCACGTCTAGAATGGATCTTAACAGGTGACTGGTGAAGATATTCTACTTGAAATAGTCCACTTGAAATGGAAAGCTCTCACCCTTGGATTGTTTCCTGGCACTTATCTCTATGGTGATTATGTGCTTACTCTTAAGAGCACATCCTGTTGCAAGGACAATGTCTCCATCTTTACTGAGAGGTTGGTACGGCCAAAACTTCCCTTGTTCTCCTTCCCCTGAGAAAAGCTCTTATTTAAAGTGCAGACACAGTCTTATGAGGGACTAAAATTGACAGCATTCCAGTTGGACAAGGATTAGATTCTGGAATCAGCAGGTCTCTAGTGAGAGATTTCTTTGCAGATCAGACATTACGTTCCTTAGCACCCCCCAAAATGACGTGGAAGTTTTATCTGAAAAATATCTTCGAGTTACTCTAAAACCAAGATTTTTTTCTTCCAGTATTCATGCTTGTTCCAACACACCCTGTCCTATCTCTTTTCATGGATAATAACTAGAAACACAACTTACTGACTTAGTTTTTCATTCCCCAATCTTCCTCTTCTCTGTGAGTTGGAACTCTTTCTGAGTTTTCAGGTTGAAGAGGAGGAGCACAGAGAGATAACAGGCCAGGTCTTCCAGGCTGTGTGTAACTGTTGCAAATCCACAGAATTTTAATCTTGAATCCAAAATTATCTGACACAAATAGGGGCAATTTATGTAGTTACAAGGAGGATTTTAATTATTCAGGAGTTTTAAATTCAAACCTCCAGGAAATCTTTTGAGCCTAACAGCCATTTAAGCCACTGAATCCCTAGAGACTTCACAAGTGCCAGGGATGCTGGGAGGAAAAATAGAACACGAGGATGATCCTGGGTTGGCTACAGAATCCTTGCTTCTAACTGGATTATCTCACAACCATCACAGTAATCAAGGTTAATCTGTTGCTTTCTAAATGAAATACTGACTTGATTTGATGAGAGAAAAATCATATTATTTCCAGGTTGTTTTCCAAAGAGGAATTTGAATGTTGTCTGTTATCTCTTTAGTTTGAAAATTAGTTTTTAAATCTATTGACTTTCACATTGCAACCTAAAAAAATTGTAAAATATGTGTAAAACATCAAAGTTAAAATGAAGTTATAGGGGCTGGTGAGATGGCTCAGTGGTCTAAAGCACCTACTTAGAACAAGCTTAGCAAAGCACAGGGACTGCGGTTCAATCCCCCAGCAT